TAGCCGAATGGCCAGCATCATCTCATTACCACCGGACATATATTTTTTTATCATTTTAATCCAAGCAAGGCAATAATGCGACTAAGACGCAATGGGATTACTGAGAGTGGAAGAAAGTGAGACGACCTTAGTTGGTGGGGGATAGGACAGTAAAAGAACAATAATCAGGAAGACAGAAGATGGTGATTAATGTTGCATTTGAATTTTTGAAGATCGTTGATAGCAGGAAAGCAAGAAACCAGAAAGCCACAGCAGAGGAAAGAAACTATTAGAATAGAAAATTCGGTTATATCTAGCCAGTTCAAGAGTAAAATGGTGAGACCTAGCTGCCAATCGAGTAGTGCGCTTAAATTTATGTGGTGGACGTATCAAGAAGGAAAACTCATTAAAACCATTGCCGTGAATAGAAAATACGCATGGAAGCCACGTCACGACGGTGGAATCTTGTGTTTTCGACACATTCTAACAGTTAAAAATGTTCACAACTTGACAAAGAATGGATTGATAAATATATATATATATATATATATATATATATATATATATATATATATATATATGTATGTGTGTGTGTATATATATATGTGTGTGTGTGTGTGTGTGTGTCCCTTCTTTGTGAGGGACACAAATCAAAAATGATATAATGTCCAAAAAAGTTGTCTTTATCAGATCTGATATCAGGATCGTCCGGGTTCTTCAATAAATTTATGCACAGCACTGTCCGATCAATTTTATAATTTACCAACGTTGCAATTTCTAAATTTTTTTATCTGGCAATCAGACTTGCGAGTCATTTATAAATTTTAAACTCGCAATATGGTTATTAATTAGAGACTTCGAAATTCGGGACATTACATACAAATGGCTTCCATCTGTCTTTCATCCGAACTACGTAGGTAGATGATGTTACCATTCAGTAAATAAACCTTTATATTCTAACAAGAATTCATATATCGATTAAAAATGAGGTATTTATTAATGTTAGTAGGAGTGTATAGTTTTATATTTTCCTTTTCTTTTCTTAGGTGTTTTTTATTAATAATTTCATCCGAAGCAAAGCCACTAAAACTATAGAGAGAGAACAATAAGAGAATAAAAATGAAGAAGACAGACGATAACGATTGAAGTTGCATTTAGATTTTTGAGGATTAAATTTGACTGGAAAGCAAGAATCCGGAAGGGTGTTCCGCAAGCGACAAGTTCATGGGAAGAAACTATAAGCATAGAACTTACGGTTATATCTAATCATTTCAACTATAAAATGACGAGATCTAGTACTGCGCTTAAAATCATAAAGTCTACGTACCATAGAGAAGAGTTCATCAGAACAATTAACGTGAAAGTATTTACAGAATTGTCAGAGGGCAACTACATTAGCACCTTTTAGAGTCTCAGCTACGGGTACAATGTGAAGCCCCATAAAAAAAATCAACAGTACATATTCATAATAGAATTACTAATAATATAATTTTATAGTAAAATTAACAGATATACATTTTCAGAGTAAGTTTACCAGCAATACATTTTTATAGCAAAATGACCAAAAATACTTTTTTATAGCAAAATGACAATCAATGCAGCACTAAAAAAATATAAAAATACATGTTTATCGTAAAATTACCAGCAATACAGCGCTCTAGGTAAGACAATAAACAGCTAAACTCAAACTGGGGTCGAAACGCTATGAAAGTGTAAAAATAGGTTTTAATACCAGCAATACATTTTTATAAAAAATTATTACCAGCAATGAATTTTTGAAGAAAAAAATTATTACTAGAAATACATTTTTGAAAAGAATATTATCAGCAATACATTTTTGAAAAAAAATATTACCAGCAATACATTTTTGAAAAAAAAAAAAATATTACCAGCAATACATTTTTGAAAAAAAAATATTACCAGCAATACACTTTTGAAAAAAGTATTACGAACAATACATTTTTGTAAAAAATATTATCAGCAATACATTTTCGAAAAAAAAAAATATTACCAGCAATTCACTTTTGAAAAATAAATAATTACCAGCTATAAAAATCTTTCGGCGTTAAATAACCCATTGAGGTTGATATGCCATACAACAAAACAAACTAAACGAAACGATCAATACATTTTTATTAAAACAAATCAATAGTAATACATTTTTGTAGTGAAATAACCAGCAATACATTTTTTTAAAATTACCAACAATGCATTTTATTATCTACAAACTATATATTTAAAGACATAAGTTTACCCTGAAAGTATAGATTTATGTACAAAACATCTGTAGTTGAAGGCAAAAAATTGCGTTCAAAATATATGTAACTGAAACCATATAATGCGTACAAAATATTTAGATTTCGATATGACGTAACCCATAGAGGTTGATTTACCACTAAAGAAGATCAACCAACATACAAACATATGTGTCACACCATGCTAAATATACATTGTGTCACCTTTTCTATGATACGTTTAAATGGCCTTGAGCTAAATGAATGCAAACTGGTGCCTAGGGATCTGTCTCCTTAGTAAAGCATCTTCTTTGCACCAATGGGGATTGGATAACCGGCACATCTTGACGCTCGCGGCAAAATCCAGGGGAATTAAGATTTTCTTTTTACTTACTACCTACACCTGAGTTTGTCGACTCCCAGTTGGCCTTGTTAAAAGACAATTAATCTTCGGGTAAGTGATATTTAGAGTCAAAATTAGTGCATGGTTGTCTGGGTGTGGATCAGTCAAAATGGGGCTCGACGTTTTGTGATAATTCTCTTTGGGGTATGGTGAAAAAAATATCTCAGTATTCCCAATGAACAACTGAGGAAATGAAAAATATTCCTGTGTCGAATGGCATCAAAAAATAAATATCTCAAAACTGAGTAGATATGATACTTTTTGATTCTAAAGATAATCCTGAAGTCGATTTTTATCTCCAACCGCGCCAGATTGCGCCCCACACATGATTTCGGAATTTTCAGGTATTGTCTGTTTTTACGGGATGATACATGCACACGAGTGGCCTAGCCAGCCAGATGTTTTTATTCAGTTACCATCTCTAGACTGGTTGCGAACCAACGCTAGACAGCCAGTCTGCTACGCTATTTAATTCTGATGTAATGGAATAACAAGTCACCCGCATGAATGATCACGCTATAGGTAACAAGTACCTATAAAGTCAACCGTCTACGAGAGATTCACGAAGGAGAAGAGTGAGACGACGCAAGCACGTCCGCCCTTCCTATTAGTGGCACTCACTACTAGATTGACCTGTATGTATAACTGTACCGTATTTCATATTTTACTTATTCTGTACAATAAACCTTTCTTCTAGTACCCATTTAGTGTTATGTGTTTATTCCCTTAGCACAGAATATAACAAATTCACAGCCGCGCGGGGAGAGGACGAACGAGAAGAATTCATAACGTTCCTTGGGGTATCTGCGTGAAAATGAACATAACAAAAACGGTCAGAGTTCAAACCCTGCTCACCGACTTTTCCATATTTTGTGGAGTTGCTCAGTTCATTTTCTTTTCGAATGCAGACGATTTCTCCCTTATACTATTTAAGTATAAGCCTTCTCCTTGTTTGCAACCTTTCTAAGACCTCATTGTTGCTTACACGCTCTGTCCATAATATCCTTCTGTTGAACCGCATATCCGTCGCCTCGAATCTCTTCTTCATCTTTGAGGAAATCTTCTAGCATTCTTTGCCGTAAAGAAGGACAGGTCTTTCGTAAATTGCACTCTTAGAATGACCTGACATAAAAATGATAATTACTGAGTTCTCTCCCTTGACTTGTCTGCACTCAGTTTTATAGCCATAGTGTCATGGCAGTTATCACACCTTAACAACAAAATTATTAAGCTTAGTGGTAATTGTCATTTGTAAAGAAGTATATAACTTTTATTCAAAAGAGTCCTGGATATGACGATAAACTAAATCTGGCTGCATAGCCTCTGAGATATTAGATGTTAAGTAGCATGGAAGCACATCTTAATTGCTGTTGTTCCCAGGTTCAGCCTGGCCCGAGGTGGCAGCACCTACTAGGATCCAAGCTATAGACACCCAAACAAAAGCAAAACACTATGAAAGTATAAAAATATTTTTTATATTAAAAATTCCAGCAATATATTTTTCTATAAAAATATTTCCAACAATATCTATTTATAGCAAAATGATCAACAATACATTGAAGGCACACAATTGCATTCAAAATATTTAGATTTCAGCATTAAATCACCCATAGAGGTTCATATGCCGCTAAACAAATCAACCAAAATTATGCCCATACAAAAATGTATATGCACAAAAGCAGAGTATCATCTACCATATATTCAACTGTGAAAGCAGAATAACACATTTTTATTACATCAAAACAACCACCAAAATTAAATTGCAGCATTAAATGACCCATAAAGGAGTCGATATGACGTTAAACAAATCCAATCAAATCGTAGCCTGTAGCCTTATTTCTTCTCATTGAAACATTTAAAAAATATTTATGTCATTTTGATATCAAGTAAGAAAAAGTCAATTGTTTTAGGATGTTATCGATATTTACTAAGCGTGACTTATTTTTGGCACATGGTTACAAGTATTGAGTCCTCTGTGAGATTTAAACTCACTAGTACTGATTTTTAGACTAGATTATTAATCATTACACCATCACAGGCAGTTCTCTCATGCGACGTCATAGCATTTTTACTGAAACTCGTTGGTTGTTTGGTTGTTTAATTGTTTTTCTTTAACGGCATATCAACATCTCCATGGGTTATTTAATACCAAAGTTTCAATATTTTGTACAGAATTTAATTTTCTTGGGGGGATAATAATGGCTTTAGTGTTACAACTATTACTGATTAACCCATATCTTGGGGAGAAGAGGTTGATTCATACCTTTCTCAAGGGTATTAGGTACGTAAGTAAATATAACGAACAAAACGGGAATTGGAACTCGCCTCTCCGATTAACAATTCCGAAACATTATCATTTACACCACCCGCACATTCATGCTTAAAGCATCTGGTATTCCCAAGCGGTCACTCATCAAAGTACTGATCAGGTTTGACATTGCTTAACTTCGATGATCTTGCGGGGACCGGTGTTTCAAC